AATTGACATACAATGAGATAATAGTGACATGGAGGTACTGGGCAGAATTGACATACAATGAGATAATAGTGACATGGAGGTACTGGGCAGAATTGACATACAATGAGATAATAGTGACATGGAGGTACTGGGCAGAATTGACACACAATGAGATAATAGTGACATGGAGGTACTGGGCAGAATTGACATACAATGAGATAATAGTGACATGGAGGTATGGGCTTTACATAATCACATGATAATGTACAACTGTAAATGTCTATATGCAAGTAATTACATTTCAACAAAAAGCCCCCAGTTCAATTCTGATGATGGTGGTTTATAACTATAATAATGAATCCCCTTCAGTATTATATTAGATTCAAAGAAGGGTCTAGATGCAATAATGTGTTTCACTTTGCCTCAGTCAAACATTATATTGCCACAGACCTTTTTACTCATCCAATATGGTAACGTGGCGAATTCATTACTAGTATTGTTTAAACAAGGGACTTGGGATATTGACATGGGTTTATAGTGATATGGGTTTATTTATAGTGACATGGGCTGATAGGTTACATGGATATAGAGGATACATGGGCTGAAAAATTAATATATTGTTATGAATATTATTTCTTGTATCGGTAAATTTAAATTATCTGATTAACATTGAGATTATGTATTATGTGGCATACACGGTTGTCCTACAAGAAAATACCTAACAATATGTATACATGGAAAATTCACTTAAAAAAAATTATATATATTTTTAAAGTTTCAATAGCAATTCAGTTCAACCAGCCAATCAATGAGCATTGTGTCTGTGATGTCATTTGAAAACCTTTCAATGCTATTCTACTGTCCAATAAATATTTATAGAAATGAATGGGATTTATTGAGTTAATACTAACTGATACAAAACATACTTCACTGTATGTTGATGAGGTAATAAATGTCACATATATGGAATATTGTAACCTTTAACCTCCTCCAGTAGGTTGTTATGAGTTAATAAAATAAATAAATAAAAATTATTCGACATTTGACTACTGATAAATGTTGGAGAAGCAAAGTTTTTGGAAACAGGAAGTAAAGACCTGTGTAGTTATATTCATTGGGACCTTATCAGCACTCCACATACTAATTAAACAATGTTAGTGAGTCTTGTGATTGATCTTATGCATCTACTATGCTGATCAATGTAAAAAATAAAAATGAAATGTCACATACATGTACCAATCCTCACATCACGTGGGTTATCTTGGTGTGAATACTTTAACGTAATTACGTGATAAAAATCAGAGCCATTATAGTGTACATTGCAACGTGAAATAATAAAGATAATAATAAAGATAATTTATTGCATCCTTAGAAATACAGTGTTTCCATCAGTTTATAGCAACAAAAGTAAGATATTAAAAAACAAAATAACAAAATAACTATAGCAAATAATAAATGATAGATTTTAGTGTTTTTGTTAAGTATCTTTCTCGTTTCTCATTAAGAACGAGCTGTGTATAAATTCTCCAACAAGTTTGATTACATTTGTGTTAGAATTTTTCATTAAGTATGTAAATTTCTGTTGGTCAGTTTTTGTTTCATCAGGAAACTGTATATTTGAGAATATATCCATTCGCAGTGTGTGATATTTTGGGCATTTGATGAGGAGATGCATTTCATCTTCTATGTCTGCTAAAGTACATTGTTTACAAATCCTGTTTTCCAAAGAAATTTTAGGTTGGGTATGTCTACCCTTTTCTATTGCTAGGCTGTGATTACTTGTTCGGAATCTAGAGACAGAAATTCTATGTTTTAGATTCAGTATAATTAAGTAACTTTCAAAGTTGTAGTTTGTTTTGAATTGAGTATATGTTCTCAACTTAGGTTTATCCAGAATTGTCTCCTTCCAGAATTCAATATATTTTTGTTTAATATTGTTTCCTATTCTCTTTATATTTTGTTTTGTTGCATTCAATTTGTCATTGATATTCTTTATATCTAATGTGTTATCTTCCTTATTTAACTCTTGAAATGAAATGAATACTTAAACGTGCATACCGACTGTAGCAGCACACGTTTAGCGATACCATGGTCATATTTTGACCCTTGCGCCGCGGATCCAACAATATCAAAGAATAAAGTCAGAATTGTCATGAGTGCATGTTTCCAATGAACAGCCCGAACGAAAATATTATTATACTATGACGATTTCTATCTAGTAATTACCTTCAATGCTAGATTAATAATAAGCACTCAATAGAAATGTTGAGTCAACATTTCTAAATACGTAAATACGACCTGTCGACATAAACAACTCACCTCATATTCACCCTCTTAGTTCTATGTACGTACAGTAAAAAACTCACATGGCAATTAACTGCACGAGAATACAAATCTCAACAAACAGATGCTTCTTTTACCACCTAACTTATTATATTTTTCGGACATTACCTTTTAATTGTATTTACTCTATCTAAACGCTTTAAATTTGTTGTCGATACTTACATGTAAATTGTAATAAATTATGAAGAAAATATCAATTATATTTAATGGTGTACACTATATTTAAGCTGCGCCTGTCTAGAGTGTTTTTTTTTAAAAAGTTAAAAGGTCAAAGGTTAAAAGGTCCTTTAGCTACATTGAAATTATCTTTGTTCGTGGTTGTTGGATCTGGGGGATTTTGGCACATCTTTAGCTTACAAGTTATGTTGCTATGGCATTAAATTACGTTATATCATCTCTGAGACTTTGGCGCGCAGTGTGTGGAAGTGTGTGTCGACAGGGATGTCAGACATCTTGTTTCGTTGGATCAAGTATAAAATACAACTCAACTAATGCTGCCATGTTAGTCGCTGAGAGTGATGAAGACATGAAATTATCAGAAAATGATGAAGTAACAAAAAACTTCGTGAACAGAAATCCACGCAACCTGGAAAGAATGGCGCTACAACATAAAGATAAAGGATGGAAGTTAAGCCACCCAAGAAAAGACTACTGGCATAAGTATGTTAATTCTATTCATGGAGGCTGGGGCATCAAGTTCTAGAAAGGACTACTGGCACAAGTAGATTCTATTCATGGAGGCTGGGGCATCAATTTCTAGAAAGGACTACTGGCACAAGTAGATTCTATTCATGGAGGCTGTGGCATCAAGTTCTAGAAAGGACTACTGGCACAAGTAGATTCTATTCATGGAGGCTGGGGCATCAATTTCTAGAAAGGACTACTGGCACAAGTAGATTCTGTTCATGGGCAAGTGTATCTTGATTGGGATGAATATTCTTATATATTATATATTGATCAGAATATTAGGTTCTAAAACCACACTAAGCGAAGACTCATTCAGGACTTTTGACTAACCCCATTATGGGCCATATCAGGATAAAAATAGAAACTATTATTATACATCTGTCATCGTAACGCCATAACTGTTTTATGGGGTATGTGAATTTCAAATGTGGAATGATTACGTGCATAAGCATTTTCCAATAATAAAAACAAACATGGCTGCCACTAGGGTTTGACCGGACTCCACACAAAGAAGTTCGCTGATTCTGTTCCAAACTTTTTGGATTTCAACACTCCCAAGATGTATCATTGGGAGGAAAAGATGTATAATAATAAGGTTATTATGAGGATAACGCAAAGTATGCACTCAGATAGTACGCCATCGCATCGACCTCCGCTTCATGCATACTTTTCGGTATTCTCGAAATAACTTTAAATATTTTGATGGAATCTCAGGCAACTAATAAACAGACCGACAAGGCTATTTTTTAGAGGTGTAAATCGGCCTAATCCTTGGTGAACGTAGCACACTGTTGCTTAATTATGCTCCAATTGGTACATTGGTACAAGTCTGTATAAAATTCCATATTTTTCTTTCTATAGGCTGATTTTAGTTAAAACTAATAGGCATGTGTCTGCATATGTAGAACACATAACTGGCCATGTACCAGTGTCTGCATCAAGTAAAGAATGGGCAATTAAGAAGTATCTGTATTCATGTGGAGATGTAGTGGCTGTATACAATGTTGGTAGAGTGCTAGCACAGAGATGTCTACAAGCTGGTATTGGACATGTACACTGGCATGTTACACCACAGTTCTTTAACACTGAGAAGGTAAAGGAAAATTAACACAGAATCTCACAAATGAGAGGTTGTTACTATAGGTTCCCATATTTTAATTATGCAAAACAGTTCATGTATAACTTAGTTCCCAAAACTTGCTCTCAGCTGGCTTTGTCTTTTCATTTGAGCTTGAAATTAATTACGTACGATTCTAATATGAGACATAGTAGGCAGATTACTCTGTACAACTGAGATGGAAAGCAAGCTAAGCTAGCTGCTTAATTTGCATCAACACTATACTGCATGTCACAAATTAAATAACATCAGTGAAAGTTTATGCACTTAATCTGTTGCATATGTTTTTGTTTCATCACTTTGAATTGCAAAGTAGCAACAAGAAGACTGTCACAGGTTTAATGTTTGATTACATGCTACTTGTGGCGTAATATTAGATATGAGAAAGATTGTGAATCATCAATGAAATTTGTAATGCATTATACACATTATATAAGTTTTGAGAGAATTATGTTTTTAGCTTCGCTGTTTACTTTGTCGAGCAGAGCTTATCATATAAGTGATTGTCCGTCGTTGTCCGTGTCAATGTTTTACTTTATCAACTTCTTCTTGAAAACTACAAGCCTGATCGCTTTGATACTTGGTGTATATGTACCTTGGGTAGACCTCTCTCAGATTTGTTCATTTCATGATCATATCTTCAATTCTCTAATTTTGGTGAATATTTTTGTCATTTTTGGTAAAAAGTGATATTTTCGACTTCTTGTTAAAAACAACAAGTTTAATTGCTTTGATATTATTACATATATAGGTACTACATGTGGACCACTCTCAAATTTGTTCATTTTGTAATGATATCGTCAATTCTCTAATTTTGGTGAATATTTTTGTCATTTTTGGTAAAAAGTGATATTTTCGACTTCTTGTTAAAAACAAGTCTAATTGCTTTGATATTATTACATATATAGGTACTACATGTGGACCTCTCTCAGATTTGTTCATTTTGTAATGATATCTTTAATTATCTAATTTTGGTGAATTTTTTTGTCATTTTTGGTAAAAAGTGATATTTTCTTCTTGTTAAAAACCACAATCATTTATGGTGAAAAATGATATTTTTGAATTCTTGTTGAAAACAGCAAGTCCCATTGCATTGATACTATGCATATTGTTCATTTTCTAATGATATCTTCCGTTCTTTAATTGAAATGTGCATTGCTAACAGCGGAGCTATCTCAGCCGACAGCCTGCTTGTTTTAAGTTTCTGTGACAATTGAGGCACTTTTGTATGTATTACTTTGTGATTCTGATTTTAATTTTACCCTTTAACTATCAAATTTGTACTTGCTGTCACCGTAACTTTCATAAAATTAAATTGAACCAAGTAGAACATGCCATTGCTCATACTTTTTATCCTCAATCAATAATTGTATGCAAATAATTGTATTTATATTATATTGATAGTAACATTGGTCTATGCATGTATATATTTCAGGACTAACACTTGTGTACAGTCATGTATGAAAACAGTCACAACGCCTTAAATAATTAATAAGTGTGCAATACCACAGTCACACAATGTTGACAGTTTATCCCAATACTTGTTTATGTTTTTAGACCCAGAAGTTTGTGGAAGCTATGAAGGAAGGTGGTGTTGTCCTGAATGAACCCAAATCTATATTTGATTTCCGTGAGCCTATTGAATACTTTCCCGATATTGACCATGATCCTACACCACCAAAGAGAAAGATGACAAGAAAAGAAGCCAGAAGAAAACGTTTATCTTTAGATTTTTAAATAAAACGAAACCCCTTAGTCTTAATGTACTTGCTTACGTAAATGTTGTGCATGTCTGTGGCTAAAAATAGTCATATTCACTATGTTTAATAACCCATCATAGACTCCGGTCAGTCAAAATGACTATTTTGAACTGTAGGCATTAGTCTGTGATTCAGCCAATGACGGAGAGAGAAATCTAGGTCAGGAGAAGCCCCATGACCTCAGAGATTTTCTTTCACATCACAAACCACATGACCGAGGCAATGAGGGTGACGCCATATTTCTGTTTTTTTGTGAAAAACAGTGCGTTTCAGTCATCCAGATTTTTTCCTGTCCAGGTTTTTGGTCTGGCTAGATGTCAACTGTGTGACAGTCGTTGCTGTTCCAGGTAGGTTTAGTCTTATTATTATTTTTCCCCCCATGCCGCCTTTTTGTGTGCATTGCTTACAAGAAAGAAAAAACTTGAGTGACGCAAATTTGCCCACGTTGTTGGATCTCTTTGTGTCACCTTTTAACTAATTTTTTTCCTCTTGTGTCTTGTTCATTTTCACCATTGTTCATTTATGTGTTTTTAGAAATGAAAAGGAAGAAAGGGAAACGCGGCAGAAGCTCCTCACCTCCTGTTTTGTCGTCCCAAAAATCGGGCGGCCGTGTGGCAGTTGCCATCAGGAAATCAGCTTGGAACCTCCATAGCAAATGCTATTTGTGTTTTGACTGTGTGCGGGGCACGGGGGTTTTGCCTAGAGAATATTTGTAACAACTGGGGTTCAAAGGCCTGCAAGAGACTGACCACGTCGCTTAGGTTTGCAGCAGTCACGTGTGCAGTAATGTGAGCGTGAGTGAGTGGAGTGCTAGCATGAGCGGAAAGTCCTCCCACTTGTCTACCAGTGCCTTGAGTACAGCAGTGATGAGTGAGAGGCCCGACAGTGAAGGTCCCAAGATTTCTCGCCCTGTCAGGTCATCAATCTCTGAGCGCGCAGACAGTGTTGATGGGCGGGCGTTGGTCACCTGCGGAAGAGGTGACGCCTAAGGCCCCCGGCCGGGGCAGTCTTATGCAGAACTTCTTGAGCTTCCTTGGACATTTTCGGCAGCTCAATCTGAAATTATCCATCACCCCCTGATGGCAGAGTTACGACCCATTAACTTCTTAGAGTATGTGGCCGGCACGCTGCAGCACACTATTGTGCATGCTCAGGACTCTGAGATCTCGGAGGTAGAACGCACCAGCCTCCGAGACCAGGCGTCACAGCTCTTAGTAGGACACCACACAGCTATGTGCTACATCCTCCAGTGTCACCTGGCTCTCTTGGCCGGGGCTACTGCTGTACAGTGGGATGCTGTCTTGGAGGCGCGTGTTTTCGCTGGCAAACTGAGTCAGGGGGTACGCCACTGCCTCACTTACGCAGACTGGACCTCTTCCACACTCTTTGATGGGGAGATGGAGGGTGCAATCTTGGAGCTTCAGGAGGCCACCGATCAGATGGTTTAGGTCGAGTTCGATAGCCAGCTGGCTGCTGCCAAAGGCAAACGGAAAGCGCCCCAAGCACAGAAAACACAAAATCCAAAGGCGGCTTTCACTGGCCAGAGTCAGTGAGGAGGCAAGCGCCCCCACTCGGAGAGAGGCCAGGCCTGAACTTACTGAATACTTCAAGCCTCGTAGAGACTTAACCTCGGCAGAGGAGAGGTCACCCCCAATATACAGCTGCCTAACCCACCGCCACATATCCCTGTCACAGACAGATTGCGCCTGTGACGGTCCAAATATAGACCTGTTTGCCACATCCCGGAATGCAAAGCTCCTGGGCCATGGATATAATTCACTGGGTACTGGAGAAACTTTGACAGGAGCGCGCACCTGCATTTTGATGCTGGTGGTGCCGAACTGGCCTGGTTTCCACTGCTGTTGGAAATGCTAGTCAAAACACCAGTAGTGCTTCCGGACTTACCAGACCTGCTGTACCAACCGGATGGCGCACTACCAATGAGCCCAGCAGTGTATCACTTGCACGCATGGAGGCTCTCAGTACAGACGGAAGGTTTATCTGAGTGGGCTGTCAACTATGTCTGGTACATGCATTACCATTTACTGTTAACATAGTAAAGATCTTGAAGACATGGAGCACATACAATGCATAACCTGTCTGGTACATGCATTGCCATTTGCTGTCAACATAGTAAAGGTCCTGAAGACATGGAGCACATACAATGCATAACCTGTCTGGTACATGCATTACCATTTTCTGTCAACATAGTAAAGATCTTGAACACATGGATCACATACAATGCATAACCTGTCTGGTACATGCATTGCCATTTGCTGTCAACATAGTAAAGGTCCTGAAGACATGGAGCACATACAATGCATAACCTGTCTGCTACATACATTACCATTTTCTGTCAACATGGTAAAGGTCCCGAAGACATGGAGCACATACAATGCATAACCTGTCTGGTACATGCATTACCATTTACTGTTAACATAGTAAAGATCTTGAAGACATTGATCACACACATTGCATAACCTGTCTGGTACATGCATTACCATTTACTGTTAACATAGTAAAGATCTTGAAGACATGGAGCACATACAATGCATAACCTGTCTGGTACATGCATTACCATTTACTGTTATCATAGTAAAGATCTTGAACACATGGAGCACTTATAATGCATAACCTGTCTGGTAAATGCACTACCATTTACTGTTAACATAGTAAAGGTCTTGAAGACATTGATCTCACACAATGCATAACCTGTCTGGTACATGCATTACCATTTAAACTGTTAACATAGTAAAGA